AGGTAACTGCGTCAACAGGATGCTAATCTTTACAGCTACCACAGTGACAGAGAGCATGTTCTCAGGCTTCAGAAAACATTCCGAAGTGGAAACGAACAGGGCCCCACAACCCTGTGACTAACACCCTTGCAGACAGCTGAAGGAATCACGCTGAAGAAACTCTGCTCAGAATGCTGTTACTTGAATAATCCTGCTCAGAACTGCTGCTCTGCATTCTGGGTCCAGTTACTACACACGCAAATTACTATTAGTAATGTCTCTGTACTTCTCGGAAGTGGAAAAGGTGGCTTTTAATTACTGTTTGCTGTGGTATTGGAACATCCTGTTTAGCCTTGTTTACTTTGCATAATTTACAGGCCTCAACCACAACACTGTGACTGAGAAACATTAAGGTTTTCAGCGATCCCTGATGAGTTTCATCTGCTAGTTTGTTCACTGCAGTTTTGTGCTGTACTTTCAAGTCTATGTGATGAAATTTATTGTAAATTTGTACTCCATATTTTTGGCCTCTTGGCTAAGAATGATAAATTTAAATAAAATGAAGACTTGATTCCCAACACTGGGCACCCAAGGTGCTTCTACATCAAAACTGCTGAGATTTCACACGACAATAAAAGGAAATTAGTTTAAAACCCTTGTGTGACTGTCCTAGAACTTGTCAAAAAAAGGTTGAGATTCAAGAAAAATATGCAAAAATAACAACTACATTCACAAAACCACGGAAAATATAAAATAAAGTCGGTCCCATTGTGTACGAGAGAGGTGTTGAGAGGTAAACAAGAAGCTGCTGATTTAGTTATGTCAAGAGACAGAGCAGATACGTGAGCAGGGTTCAGACGAGCAGGGTTCAGTGGAGAACAGCACTCTGCTCAGGGTACTCTAGAGGGCAGCGCTGATGCTATGGCAGCGGAGGAGCACGCTCATCCACCCAGCCGGTCTCTGCTCCATCAAGAGAGAGGGACCCAGCAGGGAAACCGCTCCTAGTGAAACACTGCGCTGCAGCGCTCACACAAACTCACGTGGTTGGCAGACATGCAACGGCATACACACGACCCCACCTGCCTGCACACCTGAGCACACAGCCACAGGACTGCCAGAAGAGCCAGCAGACTCACTTTAGTGCTTCATACTTTATGACAGAAACAGCCTGACTGGAATTCCAAAGTGAATCTAGGGAAAAAAAATTTAAAAAATAGGAAAAACCCAACACGTCTACACGCCTATGTGGATTCAGCAACTGCATGTGAGACTTCCTTCAGACACCCGTACAGAACTATCACAGCCTCCCAGTCAACATGATGCTTCCATTATGTGGAAAACAGGGAAACATACTGCAGAAACCCAAAGCAGTGACCACCTATTATAAAACTTTACTGACCCATCTTGCTTGCAGCGGCATAAAATAATTCCATTGCATTAAAATATGGAGTTACGATGCTGTCTGACTGGTGAATGTTAAATCTTAAGCATTTTCCTCGCAGTGTCGACAACAGGAAGACGGAAACGAGGATTCCTTTAATTACAGTGTGACTCTCTCTCTCTCTCCTGGGTGGACCTGATGGAACGACTGATTCAGATTCTCGTATGTGCAGCTTCTCTCGTCACAGGCATGCATGTGTAATTAGCGCACAATTAAAGCGCGATTCCAAACGGGAGCAGCTAAGAGAAGCAGGCTGCGGGGGAAAGAGGGCTTAATTATGCGTCTTAAACGCAGACCTGGCACACGCGTCAGGGCTCGGCGCTCTCCCTCAGGTGCTGCCGACTCCCACTTGAGCGATTACTGAGACAGCAGACCCAGCGTTCCCCCTCACGCCGTCAGGAGCAGGAGCCAATGGGGAGCAGCCAATCACAGGCCTTACAGTAAAGCAGGACCCTGTGCATGCAGAGCATCATGCTTCATACACACCAAGGGGTATGAGTGGACAAAGAAGCAGGTAGCAGCACCAATACTGTATCAGACTCAAGCTAACAGAGCCCCACAGGTATGGTTATCCCTACGCACTTAGATCTCCAGAGTCCAATGCTCTACTCATGTATCTCTGATACAGCCAGCCAAACACTTCACCTAGTTTTTATTTTCTCATGGAACAACTCCAGGTAACATCGTTCTACAGAATCCACGCTGCCGGCTGAGGGCTCCTTGTTACTCAAAGCTCAGGTGGGCTGGCAGGAAACTGTGTATTTAGAGGTTCTGTGCAGTGCAGACAAGACAGAACTGAGCCAGGTCTATTACCATCGTGCGGATTTCAGCTTGAAAAGACCCAGCGCACACACTGGGCAGAGGACCCAGCAGGGACTGAAGTGCAGTGCTGTGCTGTTTTATAATCTTATCGCAGAGTTTTAAAATATTTCTGAGGGAAAATAGAGCGCTGCTTTACATAGAGATCCAGAGCAGTGGGTGTGTGGAACAAACCGACAGCCCGGAGACCGAGGCTGAGTCACTGAGATCCCCCAACAAATAAAAGAAGGAGAAAAAACTAAAGACAGAAGGCACTGGAAACCCAGTTTGATGAGGTTTGGGATCAATACAGGATCTAAACCCATTTAAACCTATTTTCAGTCAATCTATCTGACTGAGACTGGTGCACATTAAGGTACTCAGGCCGATGATTCAGCCCTCATCACATCGAGACAGGGCTGGGCTTCCCTTCCGCCAGTGTCTGCGTGCCGCTCATTTCATCAAAGTTTCTCTGTTACTGCACAGCCATTGCTTTTCATGCAGGTTGTTTTTTTTTTTTTTTTTTGCAGAATCCAAATGTGGGTTTTTCACACGTGCGTGTATTCAGCAGCCAGCTCTGTCACAAACCGGCATCTTCAGCCACCGTCATCATCATTCATTTACATATCATTACATTACATATCATATAAACAAACCCACTCTGTTCTCGCCACCTCGGCCCTTACCCAGAAGCCCCTCAGCAAGGCCCAGTCTTTAAAGAAGGCTCAGACTGGACACAAACGGAAAAAGGCATTTCTATTACAGGCCCTTGAAAATAAGCATCAGAAAAACCTATCAAAAATCCTGACATAATATGAGGTGTGTGCCACAGATTCCGCCACAACACCCGGTGGGAAAGGAAGCCATTTCAATATGCGCTGTTCCCTAGGAAACGGAGTTTCCAATTCTGCTTGGCTGGGCTTTCATGCAGCTGGCCTGGCATTCAGCGAGAGATGAAGCCAGGTTCACTCGACAGCCTCCCTGACACACAAACTGTGATGCGTGCCGTTATGTGCGTCCATATGGACCAACCGAAAATACTCAAGATCTGAGTGACATGTGTGGTTACAGATTTTTAATAACTCAAAACGCCGTCATCCTCTGTTGTAGGATATACAAATTATCAATTGTTCTGTCAATTTCAGAAATATAACACCAACAGGAGTTAGAGTGAATGTTAAAGGTGTAACACTGACTGAAGAGTACGACAGATGTACAGATACGCCAAAGATAAAAACAGAAAACCTATTCCTTTGGTGGCACCACTGTCACAAGAAGTGGACCGTAAGTTGAAGCACACCAGTGCAAATTACTTTTCAACTGCCACTTGTGGGCTGTGACAGTGCTTCAGTCACACCTTCCTGTTCTCCAAGGCCTGCGGTTTCTGCCCATATAAATCCACTGGGTCCTCACTGACCAAACTAGTGATCAAGGACAGCATAGATACAGGTATGTTACCAAAATACAGATGTTAGCAACAACCTCCCTGAGAGCGAGACGTTAACACTACAGAGGCACTATAAGTCTCTGAATCACAGTGATTTCCCCCAGATTTAACTAAAATACACCCTTTTACAGCATTTAAGCTTCACAGACTTTTGGCATTTGTCATTCAATACCTCAAACATAAATTAAAATGAGATTTTCTGGCTTGTACGTATATGCCTGGTAAAATACATGCCTTAACTTTCACATGCAGTTCCACACACATATCTTTTAAGACATTTTAAGACATATGAAAATACTCAAATTGCAGCACAGCTCAAAGGCAACCTTTAAGCATGAGCACAGCTCTTAAGTATTTCATGGCGTTACAATATTTGTACCTCCAATGACAGTATGAATGAAGAGGAGGCTCAATTTTAACATACCTGTTCATCTCCATCCCTGGTAACAGCCTATATATCACTGTAGTCAGAATTATTTCTGATGTATTTCACCTCAGTTAGCTGTGAAGCCCATACTACATCAGGGACTGAAGTCCTGAAACGAGCAGTCCCATGTTTCCACCCAAAAACCGTCACTCTGTAATATCACTCTGTAATATCACTCTGTAATATCACTGAAAAAGGTGATAAACCTCCATTAGTTTTATGTCTCCTGCTTCAGAACATCAGATTGTCATAAAACCATAACAATCAATACTGAACGGGGGACAGACGATTAAACCAGGGACAAAAATCAATGTGACCAAACAGATTTTTAATTGGGGGGCTGGGAGGCTCTGAGACCGGGCTGAATTAAGCTCTCTCCACTCTCTGAACTGCAACCAGAAGGTAAGTTCAGGTTCTGGATATTTTTCCACAGTCCAGTTTGGAAGCAGACAGAAACAGAGTTCTGGTCTTGTGTACTGTCTGAACTAAAACCAAGCAGGACCATGGGGTTTTGGGGAACAGTTCCACCAGCTTTTCTGATTGGTCGAATGAGAATCACACTCCACAAGCTTCCTAACTCACACTCGCACTGCTAGAGCAGAGCCAGCCCCTAGGATACAGGGGAGGGCACGACACAGGGGACCTCCTCTGAGCTCTTCCCTAAGAACATAGGGCACTCTCTGGGTTACTATGGTAGCTTAGTGCATGAACACAAACACAGCTAAGCCTTGTGAACAGAAGTGACCTCTTATAAGGGATATGTTGTGGGCACATTAGCGATACATTCTGAATCTTCATTTTAAGTTGCCCATGAGCACAGCAAGTTGGTCCACATATAGTCATAGACATTGTGTCTTCTGACCATGCTACCCCAGTGTAGGGGATGATGAGAACACATGTTGGAAATGACATCTATGGCATAATGGTTAGGGAGCTGGGCTTGTATCCCAGAGGTTGCAGGTTTGATTTCCATATGGGGTTTTGCAGTTTTGACTTTGGGTAGGGTACATTACCTAAATTGCTCCAGTGAATGTCCAGGTGTGGAACTGGATTGCGAGTGAGAATGTCAGCCAATCACTCTAGATAAGAGTTTCTTCTAAATTCATGTAAAGTACCACTTAATTGATTTCACATTACAAAAAACAATACAAATAAATAAATTAAAAATCTTCTGTTTCTGTCTCAACCCTACCTTGGAATTGTGGCTGGCAATCTCCCATTAGCTGGCCAAAAACAAATAGCAACAAACACTCTCAGATTACTTCTCTGTGTTTTTGCTCATATTTTTTTTGTACATAGACTGAAGTCAGAATGGGTTTGCTAGCACTGGCAGTGAGTTACTGCGAAATTGGGGGCTTCATCTCAATTAGAGGTCGAGAGGTAGAATCATGCGCGACTATGTCATGAAGTATCACAGACCACTGAAGTGTCTCTCTCCGTCTCCCAGCAGAAATGATAAGGCTGATAATTAGGGCATTAGGGAAGGACAGGCAGACATGGAGGACGAGGGAGGGCGCGCACCAGATAGCGGGATAATGAAGAGATCACCAAAGAGCACTCTGAACTTGCAGGGCCGCTGTTGAAAAAAAAAAAAAAAAAAACCAGCAGCCTGCCAACAGCCGACAAAATAATGCGAGTGCTTCAAAAGGCACCAATTATCTCACAGCTCTCCTGGAAAGGAGACTGGCTCCACTTCGTCGCCTGTTCAAACACGGCGCTTCTTCAGGGCCCCCGCATCACTCTCGCCAGCTAAAGCATGCCAGCATGTTCCAATGCGCTAACAGAAGGTCCAGGACCACCACACAGGCAAGAGTGCCACACAGACTGATGGTTAAAATAAGCTGAGAAAATCTAGCAATGACTATTAACGGCAAGAACAATTATCTCTGCATTACACATAAGAATCACTTGATTTGAACGATAAATATACAACATTTCAGCTTTCTGATGTATTTTAGATATATTTTAAAATTCTGAGGATTTCTACAGCTTTAAAGGTTTGTAGTGGAGCACTTACATTAGTTTTATGTAAAATATGCATTGATGTAGCGCAAGTTCTTTTATTTTCTTTTTTCCCTGCGAATAGTGAAAATAATCACATCTTCAATTTGTCATGCCATGTAACTTGCCTGCTTTATTTTGGGTATTATATGCCAAGATATGGGTTACAGCGTTAATAAAAACAATTAGAAAAAAGATTTCTCATTTAAAAAGGTGTGGATATGAAATGCTTGGTTTCTATGTTAGCTAACCAGTTAGCTAGGTATCTACCACCAATCAGTCATTAATTATTATTATTTTTTTAATAATTAATAAAATAATAATAATAATTTTATTTTTGGTTTTAGTGTCAGAGTTGTTCTGTGTTTCCCCCTGTAACTGTTAACTGTGAGAATTCTGACGGTCACCGTTTTATGTCAATTCAACAATGCAGCTGCATATGACAGACAATGGCAGACGCAAAAGGAGAGTAATGGTCAACGGAACGCAGAGCCTTGCAGCGCAGAGTGCAGCAAAACCCTGCTACTAACAAGCCAACTAAGCTAACAAGCCAGCTGGCGACCTAACAGTAGGTATATCTCCCTGTCTAACATTTAGCATGGTAACTCTGCATCATATTATACTTCTTCAGCTTTCGCCAGCTTGGAAATGCCAAAACACAAGTGCGGCTCATTGTACCCTCTTGGCACACCTCAAACTCAAAGGCTGTGGTGGCAATCGCAGCTTCCATCACTGTCAAACATAACTGCACTCTAATATGCTTTGTGTTTCCAGGCAACAACTACGGCTGTTTAAAAGCTGCAGGTGACACACCCTCAGCTCTTGGCTGAAATAGTTTCAGTCGGTGTATGTGAAGAGGTAAATTAACCACGCGAACCTTATTTCATCTCATTCAGCATCAACAGCACGCTTCACGCTAGCCTGGCATGGAGCTACAGACCCCCAGCTAGCTGCTGTTTCCCTACGGCGGCCCTGATGTGTGTCATCAGCATTTCGCAGCACGTTTCATGGCCAGCGCTGGCTCAGTGTGAGACTCTTTGGTCCTGGGAGGGGGGTCGGGGTGTTTGGGGCTGGCAGCTCCTCAGGGGGGTGAACAGGGTGATGACAGACATAAGTCTTAATGCCGGAAAAACTGTCACACTCACTTGCACAAGCTGGCTAATTCATTCAGTCATAATGACTTGTTTCTAATTATCACAGGAGCAGACTGAGCTCAGTTTAAAACAGCGGAGATTCCTGCATAAAAAATAAAAACAAAGACACAGGAAGCAGTGAGCTAGGGACCCGTTTGACAGGAAAATTCTGCACACGACAGAGATACCTCATCTATTCCCTGAAATATTTTCCTATCATAATTTTGAATGATTATGTTAGCAAATTTATGGTCCCCTGTATCCCAGCCCAGCTGCAAAGAGTTCCCTTCTGTCGTTACCCGACGGCTTTCAGCTTTCAGAGAAGGGAGGTGCACTAACTGGATGTTTCATTTTATAAAGCAACTGATCTCACTCGTTAGATAACATATAATGTGCGTGTTTTGTGTTCAAATTCCTATCTGTACTCAACATATAATACATGATATGATTCATGACTTAAAAACAAAATGACTAAATTGGGACAAAACCATGCCTTGAAATAACATCTGCTTCTCGCTACCCATTCTTTGTTCCAAATATATAACCTCGACTGCTGTCCGTCTCAGCCCCAAGCAAGGGGGACCATCTGCAGTTGAGACATATGTATTGGCTATTGGTCAACCGAATTTCAATTCGGAAAATTAGTTTAAGTTAAATTAACATAAAAATCTTCATAAAACATGAACATTTGTTATTTCATTATTTGAATTTACCTGGATTTCTCCAACTAACAGAGTTTAAATGGTGGTAACTCACAGGTAGGATGGAGCAAACTGACCCTTCACTGCAAACTCAGTATCACGATCAGCAAATGACATATGCAAACTCAAAGCCAAGGTCTGCCAGCTCTGTGTCTCTCAAACAGGTGCCTTCATCATGTGACCCGCTGTGGAGTATGTCTGTCACACAAACTTGAAAACAAGACAACCAGAAGCCACAGGAGCTGCGGCAGTTTACGTACAAAGTCGAAGTCTCCATCTTGCGGAACCTTCCAGTTGTCGGGGAAGACGTTCTTGGAGATGAGGTAGGGCTCCTGCTTGTTCTGATTGCAGTTGTCATGTGACTTGCTCTTTGTGTCCTGCTTGTCAAAGTAGTCCATGAAAGAGGGCCGCGGAGCCTGCTGGGATGTGGCGTTTCCTTGAGGATGCATCGACGGAGGGAAAAGGAAACATCACAGCAGAAATGTTAATAACCAAGCCTAACTGCTTGTAGTGACACTTCAAATGAGGTTTCATTACCTTGGGTGGAGCAACACTCAGCTGTCAATCACTGACTTGCATAAACCAATCAAAAATGTTATTCACTTTACAGCCAATGCAGTCATTAGTCCAGCTCACTGATGCTATGTGGTGGCTCTTCCCATTTTATGTTTCATGAAACCTTACTTCCCCATCACTAGCTAACCATAAAAAATTGTCATTCCTCAAGCCAAAATGAAGCTAATTAACACATACCATCTGAGATCACCTTTACCATCTTCTGACAAGTAACAGATTAGTTATTTTTCCACTGTAAAGTTTTTTTTCTATCCTTTCACCGCCCTGATTTGGAATTGGTGACTGGAGTCACTGCTGCACCAGCCAATCCAACACGTTGGAATGTTGGAGCAGAAATTTGCGTACTCGTTTTTCTTCTGATGCATTAACCATCAAGCCAGTGACTGCCTATTTCACACACTTTCCTTACACTTCCTAAAACTACATTTGATTTTTTATTTACTAGCTGACAAACTCAGATGCTGGTGTTTTGTGGCTTGCTTAAGAAATGTAGTAATATTTGTTTATGGATGAGCAAAGATACATATACGAAAAGCACAGCGACAATAAACATAATTACACCAAAAAAAAAAACAGGACTAATGAGATAACTGAAGACTTGGCTGCAGAGAAACACAGTGTTTTGACACTTCTGACACAACAATTATATTCATTCTGATGCATCATCTCTGTCAGAGTTGAAAGCGGGCAGTGAATACTATCCTTTCGGCTGGAAAAAAGCATAACACTTTGGAGATGTATTTCTTATTTTTTCCCTCTATGTTTTGCAGACTGCACTGTAATTTTTTCTGGATGTCTAAAAATGTTTGTCTGGATTTTTTGAAAGACCAAGCCTGTAAAAGAGGAAACTGACAGTGGCTCAATGGGTCAAATGTCAGATAGAAGGTCAATAAATGTTATAAAATTTTCAGAGTGCATTTTTGTGTAACCCGACACATTCAGGGTGAAATCTTTCATATTTACTCAGTTCAATGTCGTTTGTATTTTATCCGACAGAATGAAATAGGTCAGATATAATTTCAGTGCCATATATAATTTATCTGTCTTTTCAGCTTGCATTTGGTCATATGGTTGAGTTTGTAAATACGTTTATTCAGTGCGATACCCCCCACTCTGGAGAGGAACAGTTGTCAAACACATGGTGTTGTTTTCACATGCTCAAGGCCTGAGATGCACCTTCGTGCCGACTCCCACTCTCCACACCCACACAAACCCACGCACGCGAGCCCGCTTGCCTCGCTTGCCTCACTGGAACAGCACAGAATGTTCCGATCCAGACTGCTGTGAGGCTGCATTGGCTCACCGCTGTAGTGTGGGTCAGGAGACGGGCCAGGGGGCAAAGCACGGTGACCAGGGGGTGGTGCAAGGTGACCAGGGGGCGGGGCAAGGTGACCAGGGGGGCGGGGCAAGGTGACCAGGGGGTGGGGCAAGGTGACCTGGGGGCAGGGCATGGCGACCGGGGGCGGGGCACTGTGACCCAGGGGGCAGAGCACGGCGACATGGGGGGCAGTCCTGTAACCAGTGTCTCATCACTGCAGCAACAGTCAGGAGGCAGGCCAGGAGGTGGAAC